AAAAAAAAAAAAAAAAAAAAAAAAAAAAAAAAAAAAAAAAAAAAAAAAAAAAAAAAAAAAAAAAAAAAAAAAAAAAGAAAAGAAAAGAAAAGAAAAGAAAAGAAAAGAAAACCCCTTTTCATAGACCATCCTCAATAAAACCCAATTACTGCAAATAACTTGGGAGGGGAGCACTGTTTTAATTGGAATGTTTTTATCTTTCTTTTAAGATGTTCTTCTTGTTTGCACTTTCTTTTTGTTATCTGTTCAGTCCCTTACAGATTTTGTATTTTTGGGCATTAGTCTCTTCTCATTTCATCAATGAATTTTTTTTGTTTATTGTTCATAAAACATTCTCAATCATCCTAAAAGAAAGGCCACCGTAAAACCATTTGAACCTAGGGTTTTCATTCCTATCAAACCCAAAAACCACCCTTCTTAATATTTGGGAGATTTAACATGGTATCATTGTAGGATGTCTTGAGTTTGAATCCCTGTAATGTCATTTTCTTCCCAATCAATATTGATATCTACTTGTTGGATTGTTGATATATTTAAATTTACCATAACCCATCAGCTTAAGCTTGTGGGTTGATTAATAATTTAACAAGGGTCAATAATCAATAGGTGGACTACATACTCTTGACCTTCCAACACTTGCTTGATTTAATGTCTCACTTTGGGCAACATTTTCCTTTTGAATTGGAGCCCTCTCTTGTTTCATTAGGTTTGTTCCTGTTTTGCTTCTTTTTTAGGTTACTGTTTGTTTGTTTTAGCTGGTTCTTTTGTCATTTTTCTCAATTGAAGGTCAGTTTCTCAATTAAAATAAAAAATTCATTGAATATTTATTATAGAAAATATTTCTTTCGACCTCTTTTCATTATTCTCTTTTCATCTTTCTTCTTTTTGGTAATTTTATTTCTGTGATGATTGAGAACTCTTTTAGCTACTTCAAGAATCGTTCCAAACTATTTTTTACTACTAGCAACTCTCTGTTCAATTTATTTTAGTAAGAATTCTGATTAACGGACAAATTCATTCTTTTCTCTTGTTATTTCCATTTTTTCTTAATTCAATAGCTTTTCTGTTTAATATAGTGCATAAATCTGTCTCTCAATTCGTCATGAAGTGCATTAATGCAGTTGTTTGTAATTGACTCTTTTTAGGAAGAGTATGACAGAATATGATCCACGATTAGTGACCCCAGCCTGCCTACATTTGGCTTCAAAAGCAGAAGAAAGCACGGTGCAAGCTAGACTCCTGGTCTTTTACCTTAAAAAAATACGTAATCATTTACTCTTTTAGTATACTACACTATTATTTGCTTCCGCTCATTAAAAGATGCCCTGGGTACTGGTGGCATGTGAAATAGTTAATATCTTTGGTTCTTGCCTTACAGAGTCTGATGATAAACATAAGTATGAGATTAAACACATACTGGAAATGGAAATGAAGATTTTAGAAGCCCTCGACTATTATTTGGTGGTATTCCACCCTTATCGAGCTTTGTCTCAGTAAGTAATTTAATTCACACTTGCATTATGTATTTTTATTCTTTCCGAAACGGAAGCATAACTTTTTAATTTTTTGAAAAGAAATTAGAAAAGAAAAGGTTAAATTACAAATTTGGTCTTGAAAACGTGTAAGAGTGTCTATGGGTCTCCATACTTTTTTTGTTGTGTCTAATAACATTGAGCGTTAAAAAGTGTATTAGAGTTCTTAAACTTTGGATTTTGTGTCAAATAGGTCCTAGGTCAACATTTTTATTCTTTCCGAAACGGAAGCATAACTTTTTAATTTTTTGAAAAGAAATTAGAAAAGAAAAGGTTAAATTACAAATTTGGTCTTGAAAACTTGTAGGAGTGTCTATGGGTCTCCATACTTTTTTTATTGTGTCTAATAACATTGAGTGTTAAAAAGTGTGTTAGAGTTCTTAAACTTTGGATTTTGTGTCAAATAGGTCCTAGGTCAACATGATATCCTCTCAAAGAGTTATCTTCGACTCTATGGTTGAGAGTTTGTGTATGTATTTGTTTAGCTTCCACTGAGAGGGGTCGATTTACCCTCTTCCTTTCTTTTCATTCTAATTATCACTTTTGTTTATTCCGTTTGCTGTATATAGCTGATCTCTTTAGGTGTGAAAAATATATTAGCATAAAGAGCAACTCTTATTAATGTATCTTCTGTTTACGGGTGTTTTTTTTAAGTTAGTTTAAAGTTGTTAGGTTAGTTAAGAGCTGGTTGGTTTGTTATGGCCGTTTTTAGCCGATTAAACTTAACATCCTAGCTGCTTTGGGCTGATCATTGAATAATAAAATAACCCCTTCGAAGTTTTACATTAAGGTCATAGATTCAAATCCCCCGTCCTCATGTTTGTGATGTGTATATATTCTAGTATATGCAAACCTAGCTGTTTTGGGCTGATCAATGAATAATAAAAAAAACTCCTTTGAGGTTTTACATTAAGGTCATTGATTCAAATCACCCCACCCTCATTTGTGATAGTATTCTAATATATATATGTGTGTATATAAGTCAAAAGAAGCTTGGTAACCCAAAAGGGTTCTTGGAAATTACCCCACGTTACCGAGAAAAGAAAATTAATGCTTTACAAATGGGAAGACAAATTGTAGTCTACAAAGAAACATCTCCAAACCAAACCTGTTAGAGAAAACCTACTTTCAACCTTGATTTCTTTGGTTTATACTAATCCTCCTTGTGCTTTTTGTTAAGTTTTGGTTTCTATTTGCCTTTGATCTATATTTAGAATCCGTATGTCTAAATTTCACATACCTTAATCCCTCTCTCTCTCTCTCTCTCTCCCTTCCCCCTGCCCCAAAAAAATAAAATGGCAGGTTGCTCCCAGATGCAGGCCTGAATGACATAAGTATGACTCAATTGACTTGGTAAGGGTATATGATAGATGCATTATTTAAATAAATTCTGCTTGTCTTTCAACTCTTCTTTTTCTTGTCGTACTTTGTTTCAAAGTTGATAAAAGTTCGAGCATAAAAGCTTGTACATTCGTGAATTTTTGTGTATGTAACTTATCAGAACCTTTTCATTCTATTACGAATAAGTAAAAGTCATTTGTTACAAGTGCATGAAAATGAACACATTATTAAAAAGTACAAGGACTACGTCATTGGTTTCGGGTAGTTTTATTAATAATTTTCTGTAAGTATGTTTTTTTGCTCATCTACCTGTTGTATTTTTTTTTATAACGGGAATGGTATTTCGTATGCTATCAGCCTTATCTTTCCAAATGTAATTTATACATTTTCCAGCTGTCATGCGTGTGGTTTCTACCGCAATGTCCTTGAAGTTTGATATTTTGTATTATTTAACACAGCTAATTCCAAGAAAATGTAATGATTGCGTTCCAATTGTATAGGGGGCTTGTGAACGACACCTACAAGATGGATCTAATTCTTGTACATCCACCCTATTTGATAGCTTTGGCTTGCATATATATTGCTAGCGTACTAAGAGAGAAGGACACAACTGCATGGTTTGAAGAACTTCATGTTGATATGAACGTGGTGAGTCTATCGAGAGCTAAATTTCTTCCCAAGTTTTAATTGTGAATGTGGTGAGTCAATTGACTTTCTGTTGTCAGAACCACGTGTTGAGTTTGTTGTCTGTTGTAGTTAGTTGAGAGAGATATTTTTTCCTATCATTTACAACTAAGGATTACACCTTGATAAATAAATAAATAAAAAGAAGAACAACAAAAAAGGCTGAAAAGGTAAAGAAATCTAATTAGTCCTATACTTCAGAGATCAAAGACTGTCATTAAAAAAAATAACAAATCTAACTTCCTAAGATGATATTTACAAGAATGCTATTAACTTCTTCAACATCCAACTTGTTATTCAAGTCTTCAAAATTAGGTCAATAAAAAGAGCCAGTTCTTTCAATGTGAAGTGTGTCAACTCTCAAAACACACAAGCTCTCATCTTTCTCCTTATTTGTATACACCCTCCACACCTTTCTCCATTATTCGTGGCAGTATTTGGGACCTTCAAGGGTAAAGAATGTCATTGGGGCAAGATGGTTCCGACTCTCACACTCATTTCAGCTGAACATTTCTTATGAAAGATAAAATCAGAGACTTGCTTGTTATTCCAAGTCTTTCATAAAATGATCCCAAATTAGTTTCAAGTCAACATCAAAGTACTTAAAACTGTTAATGCTGCTTGTTATTCCAAGTCTTTCATTCTCATGCCATTGTTCATCAAAACTCTTATGTTGTTGATACACCCCAACAAATGGTGTGGTTGAATGCAAAAATCGTCATCCTGATTTAGCCTGTTCTTTAATGTTCAGTTCACATGTTCCGAAAGTTTATTTGGGAGAAGTCATTCTAACGGCCACATATCTCCTAAATTGTATGCCCTCTCGAATTCTTGGCTTCAACGCACCCTTACAAAGTTGCTTACTCTATATCCTACATCTCATCTTTGTCTTAACTACCACTAAAATTATTTGGGTGTATAGTTTTAACTAATATCTAACCATGGAAAACTTGATGATGATCCATGAAATGTATCTTTCTAGGGTACTCACCTTACAAGAAGGATACTAATGCTATTATCCTCCAACTTGCCAATTTTTCCATACCATGTATGTCACCTTTTTTGAAAATCCCCTATTTTCTTTTTTGCAATCTTGTACTTCATGATATGAATCCCAAAATTAGGACTGCATTCCTCAATTCCCTTCATGCACACCTATATATCCTTATTATGACGAAGTAGATATCCTTACTATGATCAAGTCTTTTATTTATCACAATCAGCTCAAAATCGAGAATCTCATCCTTCTTTGAGCTAGCTTCTAAGTCATTGCAACCTATTCAGAACATAGAATCATATCCCTCCTTTGAGTCACTTCCCATATTTTTCCTTGAGTCTGAATTTAAAGTTTACTCACGAAGAAATAAACAATTGGAGAGATTTGATGTGCAACCTACACAAGTTCAAGAAAGCCAAGATCTAAACCAAAATCCCTGAAATGGAACCAGGGACAGTAGAAGATGAAAAACCCCATTGCTACAAGGAAAGATGTTCGCTTATGTACTGAACATCCTATTTAGTATCACTTTTCTTATAATAATTGTCATCCTTTTTAGAGATTTTGTCATGCCTTTAGATCAAATACAAACTCTTAACACGGTTCAAGAAGCTTTACAAAGACCTTAATGAGAAACAACTGCTTGGGAGTTGCAAGTGCTTGAAAAGAACGAAATGTGGATCCTCAACAAATTTTCCCTTTGGCAAGCGCACTGTTGAATACTATCAAGAAACTTTTTCTCAAGTTGCCAAGTTTAATATTGTTTGGCTACTTTCTTCTGTTGTACCAAATCTAGTTTGGTCTCTATTTCAATAAGAGGTGAAAAATGCATTTCTGAATGGCGATCTAGTAGAAGTATATATGGATGTACTTCATGAATTTGAGGACAAATATACCAAGGGAGAGGTATGTAAACTCGAGAAATCTTTTTATAGGCTAAAACAATTCCCTTGAGCTTGCTTGAAAGGCTTACTAATGTTTTGAAGCAAAATGATTCTTTAATTGTAAGGTAGAGAATCTACCTTTTTCAGTATCTTGGTCTTCCTTCAGCGGGTTATCCTAAGTTGGTAGCTTTGTGGCGTTGGGTGATAGATAAAATTCTTAATAGTCAATGAAGCTTAATTTTAAGGTGGAAAGTCTACATTTTTCAGTATCTTGGTCTTACTTTAGCTGGTTATCCTAGGTTGGCATCTTTATGGCATCCAAGTAAAATTCTGAAGTGTCAGAAAGACTTAATTATAAGTTGGAAAGCTTAGCTTTTTCAGTATCTTGATCTTCCTTTAGCTGGTTACTCTAAGTTGGCATCTTTGTGGCATTCAGTGATGGATAAAATTCTTAAGTAGCTCGATAGATGGATGCACTTTTATTTCTCACGTGATAGTCCTTGGATCGGCGTCTTTGTGGCATCCAATGATAGTCCTTGGATCGGCGTCTTTGTGGCATCCAGTGATAGTCCATAGATTAGCATCTCCAAATCTTGGAAACGATTTGATTCCTATGCCTCTTGCAAATTAGGCAATGGTAAACGTATATTCTTTTGGCAGGACCTTTGGATTGGGGACTCTCGTTTAAAGATTTGTTTTCCTTGACTATTTGTGCCATCTCCTCATCTTCAAGTGGTTCGGTCTCCCTTGGTTTTAACGTTTGAATCTGCAAAGATTTTCTTTTTTAGTAGGAGCCATCAACAGTTTTCACGGAGGAATTGGAGGTACTCGGTAGTTTTGAAACAAGGCCGCATTTATATTCATTAAATATGATGCTCCAGAAGTCTACAATCGAGAGCTTCACTTCTTTGCTAGAAAGGCAATAGACAGTATTCTAATGTGTCATCAATCGTGCTGTTGAGAAATAATATATGATCAAATATTAAATAGGGAGTATGTACATCCGTAGTACTAGTAAATTTTTCTATAAGAATGTTCATTTTGTTGCTGATATAGTCATTCTCGAATTGAAACTCATTCTTTTGAAATCATGGTAGTTAAAATTTCTTTTCTTGCAGGTCAAGAATATCTCTATTGAGATATTGGATTTCTACGAAAACCACCGAATGATTACTGAAGAGAGAATTCTTTCGGCTCTGAACAAGCTGTCTATGAAGCCATGAATGTGAAACAATTTCCAGTTCCTATCATAGATCGTGTAAGTGATGATGTCTGCCTTTTTATCTATTATGGTAATGTGCTATATATATTATTCTAGAATATAATTTTAGGAACTTGTCGGTGTAAAATATTGTGCATGGATATTTCTTAGCCTTTGCAAACTTGGTCAAGGAAAAGATGTAGCCATTGAAGGTGTTACTTATCTTTTATTCAAGTTCTATAGTTTTATATCATCGGGATTTTAGGTCAATAGCCAAGGAACAATACAGTAAGAATTCAAACAAGAAATGAACTTGTTAGAAATGGCCACGACAATGCTTTAAAAATGGTGAAATGGACAATTATACCCCTTCAAAAATGAAAAATTTCTCGAGAAAAAACTTTTGAAACATTTTTTTTACTTAAAAGATGTGCCAAAGTCATTAATTTAACATTTTCATTATGATTTGAAAATATTGATCGACTATTTTTCCACCACTTTCTTAAATGATAACAATCTATGAGAAATATACTATAAAATCAATGGAGAATGGAGTTATTTCAATATAGCCCTGAAATCTCTTTTAAAACGGCTAAAAATTGCCAATAATGTCCTCTTAAGAAAGGACAAAAAGAGAACAAGTTTTGAGACTTATTTATACTAAAAGGATGTCTTAAACTCAGTTAACTTGACATATTCTATTATTTGAAAAATGTCAGACCGATAACTATATATATATATATATATTTTTTTTTGCACCACATGCTTTCAAATATTTGTTTAAGAATTTTAATTTGTGGGTGTTAAAAAGTAAAGGTGAAGAGTTTAGATGTTATTAATTTTAGGTGTCCAATTCATTCAACTTTAACACCCTAAAAATTTGGAAAATGTTAAAAATAACACGCTTTTGCAACCATCGCTAAATACCATCTCATCTTATATTTCTAGGGTTGTTTATAAAAGCTATGATTGATTTAAATTTTTAATCAATTTTCTGTCTAATTTAATATTCTATTTCTTTGTTTCTCGTCTTTTTCCCCCCCTTGAGATCCGATTGAATTAGGGGGGAAAAAAAGGAGCTCCATATTTTCATTTACTTTTTTTTAATTGCAGCGATTACCCTTGCCTTGGGAACAATGCGGATGATGTAGGAGGTTTTGTGGAACTATAAAACCAAATTTCCACTTTCGTTGCCTCCCAAATCCATTTCTTTCCTTGATTGCAAGGAGTCCAGAAGTGTATCTCGCTTCGTCTACGAGATTTGGAGCTGCAGTCTTCACCACCAATTCTCCTGCCGGCACAATCTACTATGATCGCTGCCTGATCAAAGCTCTACCATGACCGTTTCCTACCTTCTCCTTCTACTCCTCTTCGTTCTGCACTTCACCTTCGTCCTCCCATGGAAGAAGGAAGAGTTCAGGACCTGCAATCAGACTCCCTTCTGCAAGCGAGCCCGCGCCTTTAAGCCCGGATCCTGTTCCCTAGTTGCCCATGATGCTTCCATCACCGACGGGGACCTCACCGCCATCCTCCTCCCCAGGAATCAGGACCTGGAGAATCAATCCAAGCCCTTGTTACTCGCTCTTTCTGTGTATCAGGACGGCATTCTGCGCCTCAGGATTGACGAGGATCCTTCTCTAGCTCCACCCAAAAAGCGATTCCAGGTGCCCGACGTTATTGTCGACGAGTTTTACACCAAAAAGATCTGGTTGCAGAGAATTTCAACTGAGACTATTGGCAACGATTTGAGCCCCTCTTCGATTGTGTACTTGTCCGATGGTTATGAGGCCGTTCTTCGCAAAGATCCGTTTGAGGTTTTCGTTCGTGAGAAGTCGGGTAAGCGCGTATTGTCTCTAAATTCTCATGGTTTATTCGATTTTGAGCAGTTGAGGATTAAGGAAGAAGGCGAGGACTGGGAGGAGAAGTTCAGAGGGCATACCGATACCAGGCCGTACGGTCCCCAATCCATTAGTTTCGACGTTTCGTTTTATGATGCTGATTTTGTATATGGAATACCGGAACATGCAACTAGTCTCGCTCTGAAGCCCACCAGAGGACCCGACGTCGAGGAGTCGGAACCTTACAGGCTGTTCAATTTGGATGTTTTCGAATATGTTCATGAGTCTCCGTTTGGGATTTACGGGTCGATCCCTTTCATGATTTCACATGGGAAATTGCGTGGAACTTCTGGTTTTTTTTGGTTGAATGCTGCTGAAATGCAAATTGATGTTCTTGGATCTGGCTGGGATGCTGAATCTGGGATTTCTCTTCCTTCATCTCAAAATAGAATCGATACTTTTTGGATGAGTGAGGCGGGCATCGTGGACACGTTCTTTTTTGTAGGTCCAGGGCCTAAGGATGTTGTTCGTCAGTACACGAGTGTGACTGGGACTCCGGCAATGCCCCAGCTCTTTGCAACAGCATATCATCAATGTAGGTGGAATTATAGGGATGAAGAAGATGTGGCACATGTCGATTCTAAATTTGATGAATATGATATTCCTTACGATGTCTTGTGGCTTGATATTGAGCACACGGATGCAAAAAGGTATTTTACATGGGATAGGGCGCTTTTTCCAAATCCGGAAGACATGCAGAGAAAGTTGGCTACCAAAGGAAGACGCATGGTTACCATAGTGGATCCCCATATTAAGCGGGATGATAATTTTCCATTGCATAAGGAAGCAAGCAAGAAAGGATATTATGTGAAGGATGCTGCTGGAAATGATTTTGACGGCTGGTGCTGGCCAGGTTCATCATCGTACCTGGACATGTTAAGTCCAGAGATTAGGTCATGGTGGGGAGAGAAGTTCTCTCTAGAAAACTATGCTGGTTCGACTCCTTCCTTATACATATGGAATGATATGAACGAGCCTTCTGTTTTCAATGGTCCCGAGGTACTTACTGAATTCTTTACATTTATTCCTTGTTCTAAGGTGTTATTCGGCACAATTCTTTTTCTGTTTTCCATTATTTCTTGCATGTCTGGTTACGTAAGCATATACTATCCATCACTGGGATGCCTTTATGTACTCATTATCGAGTGCTCAGCTATAAAAGGCTTGGCTTAAGAATTTAGAGCCTCTCATTTGTTAATTTTTTCTGATAATATATGAGCTATTCAAAACCAAAAGAAAAAGAAGAAATTGCGGAGAAGGCGAATGATTTTAGATACATTAATATTGATAAAATTGTTGTTAAAAACTTGGATGAGCGATTGAAACAGATATTAGCTTCTACAATATCAACAAGTTTAAATGCTTTTATCAAAGGGGACCAATAATTAATCCTACCCTTGTTCAAAATGGAGCTCTGGAAGAATATACAGGCAAAAATTTTGAGGATAGGTGCTTAAAATTGACAACAGGAAAGCCCATGATATGGTTGATTAGGAATTATTAATAATGGTTTTTAAGAAGAAATGGTTTGGAAGGAGATGGATCAACTGCATAAAGGGATGTATCAATGGATCAAAAGATATTGTTTTGAGGGGAGAAGCATAAAGGTATGATAGTCTTTATTGCTAGCCCGGGGGGTGGGGGTTGAGGTGGGAAGTAAACTTGCCTCGTAGGTTGTGCTTTTCTAGTGCTGATTATTTTTTTTGGAAGAAGTTATGGTATGAACTGCCATTTGCATTTGAAGTATGGAGTTTGCTGGATTTTCTGTAAGATATTGCTTCCTTCATGATTTGGGATGTCCATTGGCAGGCTTCTATGCAGAAAGTCATTTATTTAAGTCTTCAGTTTAGGTTGTCCTTTAGGTACTTGGCTGTAAAGAAATATTTTTATTTATAAGAAGTAGTTTCATTGATGTATGAAATTTACAAAAAGGAGGAGAGAGCCCCAAACCAATGGAATTATGATACACATCTTCCAATTTTTGTCAGCAGTGTTGTGAATAAGAGATTTATGCTTCAGAATTTTTTTTCTAAGGATCATTTGATGAATGTAGTGAATGCTACCCGGATGGTAACTTTGGTTCTTTGTACCAAAATTTGCATCAATAATCAGATGCCACAGAGCCCTTTTTTCCTTTTGGTATCTCCAAACCCATTTTGCCAAGAGAACCCAGTTTTTGTCTTTAATACTTTGGAGACTAAAGCCGCCATTTTCAAAAAGGAGATGAACTTTAGCCCACTTAATAAGATGCTTATGGAAAGAGTAGAGTATCGTCTGCAATAGGTGCATTAAGTATTTGCTTACCGTTGATGAAAGCCGATTGAAAATCTTTGATGATGAAAGGATTTCCTTTTTAATTTCTCTTGAAAGCCAAAAAACATAGCAAACTTGTCTGAGAAATCTCGGGTCTTGTCTCCCATATCAATTACGATAAATCCACAACCAAGCAGGTGAAGGATGGGTCCACATCTTCTATATGATTCTTTCTTGGAATATCTGCTGTTTGGGTTCTTTGGAGAAGAGGGCTCTCGTTCATTCTCTCATTCTCAAGTACAATCCCCCTATTGTCATCCTTCGAGAAACAAAATTGGCTTTGATGGATTGTTACATCATCAAATCCTTTGGAGTGGCCACAAGATTGGGTGTTTGGCTCTTGAGGCTTCCGGATCCTCTGGTGATATTATAATTATATGGAACGAACCTGCTTTTGAGCTTTTGGAAGTAATCAAAGGTCTTTTCTCCTATTCATATTTCCCTTGCTATGAATACACTTTCTGGTTGGATGGAAAGAAGTAAGAGGGTTATTTTTTTTAATCGTATTGTTGAAGACTTAGTTTTGAGAATACTCATTTCTGACCTAGTGATCTTAAGTCTGTCAGGCTTACCTTTTTCTCTTTAAGTGCATATTGAATAAGGACTTCTTCCTTGTCATTTGTTCCTTAGTTTTTAGACCATTTATTTTCTTAGCTGTATATGTTTCATTTATTGTATTAAATAATATATTGTTTTATATTAAACAAAAAAGTAGTTTGGAACAGGTTGTGCTCTTCTGCAGTTTGCTGTGATGTTATCAAACTAACTGATGTCTCTATCTAGGTTACAATGCCTCGAAATGCTTTACATCAAGGAGGTGTGGAACATCGGGAATTACACAATGTGTATGGATACTACTTTCACATGGCCACTTCAGAGGGACTAGTTAAGCGGGGTGATGGTAAGGATAGGCCTTTTGTGCTCTCACGAGCACTTTTTGCAGGGACGCAAAGATATGGAGCAGTATGGACAGGAGATAACTCAGCTGATTGGGATCATCTCAGGGTTTCT